TTCGGTTACATCACAGCCCAGACTAAAAGGCAAGCACGTCCCCAGTGCAGGGACTTTCTGATGCATCCCTTCTGTCTCAAAGAACTAAAAGCCCTTACACTATTCAAATGCCTTGTGTTTTTTTTTTTAAAAAAAGCAAAAACAAAAAACAAACTTAATTTTCAAATAATCCCATATGACTTTTTTTCTAGACGTAATAAATGATATTCTACTCAGATAGTCACTGCATTTACAACATTAGTAGACACAATTGACTTTGTCAACTCAGTCAAGCAATAATAATAAAATCATAAGAACAGCTAATTTATTATATACTTAATATATGTCAGTCACTGTACTAAGCCCTTTGCAGATATGGATCCACTTCATTTTCACAGCAGAACTTTGAGTTGGGTGCAACCATTCTTCCCACTAGCTTGATTCTAAAAGCATATATATTTTAATTCCTGTCTAAAACCAAATCTTCCCTGCTCCAAAACCTATGTCAACAATTCACGCATGTCACATCCAAACAGTCCTCATCCCCAGTAAGACCCCCACACAGACAACAGGCTGTCTGTACAGCCATATGAGTTCGATAAATGCATCCCGACTAATATGTTCGTTTTTAATGCTGTTCAAACATTCACATGGAAACAGCTCTAGCGTAAATATCCCCGAACAAATGGCTGTATATTATCCAGGAGGGAGCAGTTGGGCCGCCAGACTGGGGAAGTACTAGGCCATCTGGCTCCGGCAATCTCTCCAAAACCATCAGCTTTGTTTTCACCCCCAGACTCCAAACAACACATTTTCCACTGTGATGAGTTTACATTTTCCCAAACACAGGTCCTGATCATGCATAAAAATTCCAAACTTCTTCATTCCTCTATGTGCAAGGAAATTTAAATCACCTGCGTTTTTGACATGTTACCAAAGGAGACAGAAAGCTGTTGAAATATGGCCCCTGACATAAACCTGCTCTGTCCTCTCTTGTTTGTTCCCCTGGATCTATGAAAGGGCCTCTTTGCTGGCCTGCTAAATTCCTTGGGAACTTATAGATATGCCCTCCCCCTGCCCCAAAAGTGTTTCTCTACCAATGAACTGAAAGAGTGGTTAATCAAATCTATGTAGCCATGGTAGAACATGATGAAACAATCAATGGGAGGGAAATACAGTGGAATCAACAACTTTAGGTGCTGGGAACATCAAAACAAATATATAAAGAAATCTAGCTCGGGAGCAAATCTCACAAGCTTCCCATTTACTGTGCCTGCACTTTCTTTGCACCAACAGTGTCTGGAGTGCCCTCTCCACATACCCCACCTTTAAACCAGCCCTTGCAAAGATAATGTGACGGCTGTTGGCCTTCCTCAAAAAGAAATAAATAAATAAAACCACTTTTGTTTGAAATTGGTTCCCCTTTATTTAAGTATCACTTGAAAAACTCACTCTTTGAGTAACATGGTAGAAGAAATGAGCTTAGTTTTGTGTTTATTGACCACTTAAAGATAAATACCTCACTGAAGGAACCATGGCACACAATCGTATCTCAAATGATACATGGAAATCGGAATTGAGGCAAGTTAAACCTCGGGCCTCCCCAACTGGGTGCAGGAGAATTTCTACAGTTGACACTGTTTCTGGAGGCATCAGCCATAAACTTCTGGATCCTGAGGGCTTTTGCATGCTCACTAATAGAATACCAAAAACAGCCACGACACAAAAACAATCTATTTTTAGGCCAGCTAAACTTGGTTTTGAACAACCCTTCCCAAAAGCAAGACATTTCTTTTTTAATTGAACAGGTTTGGTTTGGTTTGCTGTTGCTGTTGTTCAAGTTTTCACGTTTTATACTCTATGTTTTACAAAGGAGGTATAAGAAGATGGGACCCCGGAGCCACAGTCACTCCTAGCAAGGCTTCATCATTCCTGGTAGAGTGCAGAATTAGGAATCATTCCTCCAAATAGTCTAATGAGACACTTCAGGAAGGTGTGAGACACTGTGTCGTGTTCATACATCTCGGTTGATGGAGACCATTTCTGGCTCACCTCAGTGCTGCTATGTCTACTCAGAATGAGGAACAACCTCTGCAACTGAAGCATGCATAGCAACTTCTGCATGCTGCTGGCAGACGATGCCATCTGAATGTCAACCCCAGCCTGCCAGTCACGGATGTGACCTCACGCGCACAAAGGCACACCTCTGATATGAAAAGGGGTAGGGTCACCGAGCAAGGGAGAGAAGGCTTCGCAGTGGCCAGGTGTTCCCTCCACCAGGGCTAGTGTTCTGAGAGCTCATCACATTGACGACTGTATTCTGCCCCACACTCTAAACATCAAAATCTGGAGTGCCTCAGAAAGGTATCACAGAGGGCCAATGCTACCACTTAGTCACTCAGCCTCTGCCAATCCGTACTTTTTGTTAAAGAGGCCATGGTGTGTTTACGTAGCATGGACACTGTTAGCAAATTTAAATCAAACTTAAGCATTTAATTATCATGGTGAATTTTTGAACTACAGGAAGGTCCACTGTTTTACTCCTGAAGCAGAATATGAACATGATTCTGCAGCTAAGAAAGGCCTCTGGTATTCCCTCTGCTATTTTTTTTTTCTTGAGTATATGATGCTAACTGAGTGCATAAGAAGGTAACTTCCAAAACTCTTGCTGCATGTAATCGAAGAACAAGCAACTGGATAACTGGATAATGAGCTCGGATTGCCTTTCAAAGTGAAAGTTATAGAAAGGGCGGTTACTCAATTATTAGGAAAGCAAATAGGCTCATCTAAAAATGGCATTTGTCTTAATACTTTCATACCAACTTAGATAACTATTAAACCTTTTTGTCAAAGGTAGCTGCTGATGAGATATATAACTACATGTATTTATAATTTAAACCTTTAGTAATATATAGCAAATGACTTTCTTATATCTGTTATTTTTTTCAATGAAGCATTTCCCACTTTCACTCTTCATAGTACTTATGATGCTATCAAATGGCAAAGATATCTCCAGCTGTAGATTTTTTTTTAAAGCTCCGTGGCCTTGTTAGTAAAATATTTGGTGTATTGCTTTATATTTTTAAAAATCCTTCCGCTGTTCTCATATGAGAGAATATGTCGATAAAATGAATTCTTGGTAGCACTATATGTTTAGGGAGATCAGAATTGAGGTTATGGGGAGATATGAAATGGATAGAAACAATCTTCTCTAACATGACCTAATTCTATGTTCCTTGGAACAGTCCTGGTCATAGTGTGGCCTGCAGTTTCAGTGGTCAGTGTTCCATGAACACATCGGCCTTATCCTGTTGTTTGTGTGAATGCATTTATCTTAAAAAGTAAGTCCTAATAAATACAAGTGGAGTATGGGGCAGAGTTCAGTCTTTTTCCCCTGCCCCCCTCTTTCCACTCTTCTCTGATGAGGAGGACAAGAAAAGATTCCCATCATATCAAAAACAATTTTTGAAAAACAGAACTTCACATGATATATTTTTGTTTTGACATCAAATTAAAAGTTACTAAAATCAAGTGTGTGTGTGTGTGTGTGTGTGTGTGTGTGTGTTTCTTTTCAGCAGGGGAAAAAAAACCTAAAAATTCAGAGTTCAAAGGAAAGACAATTATCCTATATAGCCATTTATGCATTTAAGAAAATAACTACGATTAAAACAATAAGTGAAAATTTACTCTGAGCTGTCAACTAAGAAATGAACATAGTCTTCCAGGAGAGGAAAATACTTAAGGGAAATAAAATGACATCAATTTTTTCAAATACTTATTAACTTTAAAATATACTTCATACTCATAGTTCCATATATTTTACTTGAGTCACAATAAAAATATAAACATGTTAATCAACATGAGCTGTTATTAAATGCTTTCGGTTAAGATTTCAAACTTCCCAACAGCTTATTAATGTGGATTTTGCACATTATAGCCAGGCAGATCTAAAGCTATTTTTAATTATGCAAGCACGCCCTAATTCCAAACTTTCCAAACCAGTGAAGGAAGTGCGCCCCTCCTTATTTTAAAGGGAATATTTTTAAATGACAATCAAGTAAACACATTTTAACCCTGGTACTAAAATGCTATTTACTGTGCAATAGATGGCTTTTCTTTTTATTCTGAATTCTGTCTTTCTCTTAATAAAGCTCTCTCTTTTTTCTGTTACTTCAACTAACTAACCAGCTACTTCATTCTGAAACTATACTTTTTCTTAAAATTAAGAAGAGGGAAGTTTAAAAAAAAAAAAACTGTGCCTCATTAAAATGTCAAGCCTCGCTTCTACCTTGGCTCATAACTGTATCTTTTAAAACATAACTCAACCTTAATGTATACTGCTTGACACCAAGTGTTGGCAGGCTTAAGAAAATGTCGTCCCTGTGCCTTTAAGATGGAAAGCTAGCTAGCTCTTGTTGCCTGGCTCCCAGCCAAACTTGGAGGCCAAAGCAGGAGGGTTTTTGCAAGATACCCTCAAACAATTGTAGGCTCCCACTTCCAACACTACTTTCCAATACCACCGCCTTTAAAAAATAAAATAAAAATCTATAGAGAAGTCATTTGCAAACTTCACCCTGCTCCACACTCCCGCAGAGGCCAGCATTGCCCTCCTAAACACCCCCTCTAAGTTCCTCAGGCCTGGGCCTTGTATAAAGCCTGGCTAGATTGTGTTTCAGAAGTTCTGAACCCCGGGGGATGGGGTTTCTCTAGGGCTCCTTCTGCACCCCCTAGGGCTCCCAGAGGAAGTCCAGTCCTTACTCCTTCACTCAGCATCCCAGGTCTTAATCACCAGGCCTGGCTTTCTCAGGGAGGGAAATGAGCCTCTAGCGATTCCCCAGGCGGAGGTGCTACGACGGGAATGGTCCCGGAAACCTGCGCTGCCACCACTTTGCCAGGGCCCCCCTGGCTTTGAGAGTCTGGATCCCAGTCATCTCTCAGTGGTGGCACAACCAGCTTTTGAACCGCAGCAAATTCTGTGAGCTGAGAATCGTCCCCACAATGTGGAATTCTGAGAAACTTACTTGCTTTGTCATGGAGTCGATGAGGCGCACGTAAAAATCCTGTTCCGTCCTTATTCCTGGGGGTGGAGGAAGGAAGAAGGAAAATTAAGAGAGGGGATAAGCCCCGAAGGAAAAAAAAGAACCCCGCAATATAAATAACAAGGGCAACAAACAAAACCTGCGCACAAAGGGGGCCAAGGCCAAGAGGAACTCCTGCTGTCCGGAAAAGGGAGAGCTAGGATGCCCCCCCCCAATCTAGAGAGGATCTTAGGCCTAGTTCAAATGCCCCCTCCCCCTGGAAGCCAGACTCCTCGAAGCACTGGAGCTAGATATGGGGTGGGAATCACCCAGCCTGGCCACTCTCCCTCCCCTCTAGAGCCCCTCTGCAGTCCCCTGGATCCATCAGGACCACCACCATTCCAAGCTCCCCAGAACCAAGGAGCCCTGCGACCTGGGAATTTGGGTTGTGCAAAACAGGCTTCAAGAAGGGGGTGGGGGGTGGGGAAGAAGCCAACCGAGTGGTCAAGTTAGGGGTAAGTGGCCTCCAGTCAGCCCTAGGCTGACCAAGCCGCCCTCCGCCTCCTCAGGTGAGAAACTTCCTAGGATGAAATTTCGGAGAGGCCTGTTCACCTGGAGGGTGGCTGACGACTGAGCTTCGCTGGGGGGCTTTCGTCCACCTGGAGCTCCGTGAGCCCCCTGCCCTGACCCGGAGCCCCAGGGTGCTGGCACCGACCCGACAGGAGCCTCACCATTGCTGTAGAGGAGCTGGAGCCGGTAGTGGATCCCATTATTGGTCTTTTCGCTGTTGGCTTCCTGGTTTGCCGCAGGGCCCAAAGACACAAGAGATGAGGACAAGAAGTCTCCATGAGCGAGTGCGCTAACTTCGAGGCAACTTTTCCCAAATGGGACCCCCCCACACACACACACACTAACCTGTGAAGTCAGCCAGCCCAGATAGCAACAGTAATTGTGGCAACAATTAATACCTTCTCCACCCTCATTTCAAATTGTTCTCTCTCTCTCTCTCTCTCTCTCTCTCTCTCTCTCTCTCTCTCCTACTCTCATTCCAGAAAATTCTGTGAGGTGTACTGAATATGGGTGAGACTCTACCTTGAACCTTGGGACTGCAGCCTGGGCCATCTGAGGCAAGCAAGGCAAGGTCTCTTAGTTCAGACCTAGCACATCCCAGGTTCCCAAGGATAGATAGGCTGAAGTCGGGTTCGTTTTGCCTGGGTTCTCTCCAGTTCTGGAGGCTCCATATTAACTTTCTGGAGCAGGACCTTGTGTCTCAGGAGCCTGAATTCGTCCAGGACGGGAAGTTACGGGGGCGGGGGCGCTCACAGGAGTGTGAGGTTAGCTTTGCATGCCCGGAGGCGGCTCTTAAGGCGCCTGGGCCTGCTCCCTGAGCCTGGGACTACTGGGGACAGCGCTGCGCCCACTTACTTTTTCCTTCTCCACGAACCCCACAAAGGCAGTCCTCTCAATTTCCACGGGCTGGCCCTGTCTGTCGTAGAGGGCCAGGACGAAGTGGAAGAAGTTGGATTTCCGCAGATTAGAAGGCGGCTGCTTCTCAAAGTGAGCCCGGGCCAGACCCACCCCGCTGCGACCAAAGACGCAGAGTTAGATTGCTAAGTCAAACCGTGTCCCATACTCCCATTGTCACCCCCCAACACCCACCTCCTCTGTTCCCAAAACATCCCCAGGGCGCCTTCCATGACCCATCAGGAGCCCAAGCGCGGCTGAAGAACCGCACACACGCCAGTCATGTTCCTGGGCTCCCGGTTCAGAGACAGCGGGTCCTCAGAATCCAGAGGTGTGAAAGTTTTGTTTGGGTTTTGGGCGCGAGATGAAACGCTACAATCTTTACTCCACTTGAACCGCGCTGCGTGCAGAGGAAACGTGGCCGTGGGTGAGGTGAAAGGAGGTTAGACAGAAAGTACGCAGTTTACAACTTCGAAGGATAAGGCGTGGGAATGGGCTCCAACTGCGCCTCCAAATCTCACGAGTGAGGGGGCAGGTGGAAACGAATGCAGGCACGCTAGGCTACTTGCTGCTGCAGCCACCCTCCAGGAAACCTCCCCAGCTTTGGCTAGCTGCCGGTGCCCGGCCTCAGCACGCTAATTTTCTACGCAAACACAAGCAAGGGGAGAAGGGTCCCATATTGGGGCTCGCGGCTATGAGAAATGATTGATCGCTATGGGAAAGGGAACCGGGATGTTTTGTTTTTTTGTTGTGTTTGTTGATGTTGTTTGGTTTTGTTTTTAAATAAAAGACCTATCTTGACAAAGTTTTGCCCTTCTGAGAAATTCATCCTCACACATTCCTGAAACTCAAAGAGCCAGAGCTTCTGACTGAGCAGCTCCGCCAGGTACTAGAGATTGGGGTGCCCGGGGGTACCGCACTGACATCCCAAAGTGCCCGACAAAACCGGGCAACACACACACACACTTTCGCTTCCAGCCTAGTTACCCAATTCACTCTCACTACCAACCACTCCTAACCCTATGCTCAGCGGGGATGGAAATAGTACAGGGACAGTTGTCCCTAGTCCCCCTCACCCCAAAACTAGAATGATGGAATTACTCTTCCTTCTCCTTCTGCACCCTTTAAATCTAATGGGGCTTGGGGCTACCAAGTTTTCCATTCCCATAAGCCCAGCGGGTGGCCAGGAATGAAAAGGATAGGGTACCATTTCTCACTTGGGACCAAGAGCCCCAGGGCAGGACTCTGGCTGTGCTCAGGAAAGTTCCTCAAGTTGGCCTCCAAGGGCATGGCCTCCAAGCCACTCAGTGTAGACTCTGAAGAGTAAGAGAGGGACTGGAGGTGGCCAAGGTGACAGGGGCCGAGGAAGGCTTTTAAGGAACGTGAGAATTAAAGTTGTTCTGCAGGCTGAGTGAGAAAAACTGAAGGCTAGGGAGTAGAGAAAGGGCAAGTGGAGAACCAGATAGCAGAAGTAAGGGAAGACTCCAGGGAGAGAAATGGGAAGACAGAGCAGGAGAGACTGCGGGGTGAGGAAAGAAAGAGCGAAGCTGAGAAAGAAGGGGGAGGAAAGACTGGGAACGCAAGGGTGTAAGAAGAAGAAGAACAAGAAGAAAAAAAATGAAAGAAGGTAGAAAAAAGAAAAGAAAATGGGGAGAAAGAAAAGAAATATGGGACGTAAGGGAAAGGAAGGAAGAAGGGAGGAGAAGAAAATTAAGTAAGAAAGGAGAAAAGGAAAGAAGGAAAAAAGAGAAAGGAAAAAAATCGAAGAGAAATAAAGGGGGAAAGGAAGCAAAGGGAAGGGGAGGAAAAGGAAAAAATATAACCACCCAGAAAAGAAAACAAGCAGTCAGAAAAGCGCAGTTATCCAACACCGTGCTGGTGAGACGCCTCTTCTGGGTTAAAACAAAATGAAAACAGTCGCAGATGAGGCTGCGGAAAGTGCCGGCAAAGCTTGGGCTCGGCTCCCTCCAGCAGCTCCGCCGCTCGCAGTTCTCTGGCCGCCGGCGCCAAGTGCTACGCAGCCGGGGAGCGCGGAGCCCGAGCGGCGAGCGCAGCACAGCGGCAGACGCACTCGCGTGGCCGGGCCCCGGGTAGCCGCGCTGCCGCCTCCAGGCTCTCCCGCTAGCCCGCGGCCTTTCCGCCGCGGTCCCCGAGCGGTACCCACCTCTGCGCCGCTGTGTTGGCGTCCAGCACCCCGGCGCCCTGCATCCACGTCCGCACCGCGTTCATGCCGCTGCCCAGCGGCTCTTCCTTCATACTGCTTCCACTCCGTTGGATGCTTTCCTGGATCCCAAACATGAAAACAACCTTTTCTTGTGGAAAATCTCCTCCCCTTTGAAAATATTGAAAAAAAAAAAAAGGAAGAAAAACGCCAACCACAGATTTTTTTTTTTTTTTTGAGTCGATGAAACTCGCGCTACATCAAGGCGGCGGGCTGAAAAGCAAAATTTTTAAAAATGTAAACCTTCGCTCAAAACTGAGCGATAACAAGGGGGGGTTGTTGAAGAAAAAAAGAAAGGGAAAATCCAACGAAAAGACCAAAATTAAGAAAAAAAAATAGAGATGTATGCTTGGCTGTTGGGGGTTGTTTGGTTGGTTGATTTTGAGTTTGGGTGCTTTTTTTTCCTTTTTTTTTTTTGCTTTTTTTTTTGTAGTATTCACAGGCCGTTGGAGTACAGGAGGGGCTGGAGTTTCCTTTTGTAGAGGTACCTTCACTTGAAGAAGCAGGAAGAAAAAAAAAACCACCCTGATGACAATTTAAGAAACAATAGATAGGACTCTCGAAGCCGGCTTGGCTACTTGAAGTGTCATTTTCCACAATCAGGCAAGTTTTTTTTCCTCCTCTCTCAACCAAAGATGTTTCTTTCCTTTCCGTGCTTGTAGATGAGGACGCTGGTTGCTGTAGACAGATACACCGGAGAGGGTGGGGGGAAGGGGAGAGAGAGGGAAAGAGGAAGGGGGGGAGGGAAAGAGATAGAAAGAGAGAGGAGAGGGAGAAAGAGAGGGGTGGACCCTGCTGGATGGAGATTCTGTTTTCTCCTTGCTAAAATAGAAGTGATTTGCAGGCTCTCCCTGTGGAATCCAGTTTGACTCTCCCCAGAGCTAAACACAGGCACACTAACCCCAAAGGGAAAGAGGCGGGGCCCTCGCAGTCTGGCCACGCCCCTTCTTTGCATAACGTCATCCTTCCGCCTTACCGCAGCCAATCGTAGCTCCCGAGCTGCTTGTTCACAGAGCCAGGCCACACTCCCTCATTAACATCCTTCTCCGGGTGGCGCAGGGGAGTCGCCAAAGTTCCCGGCAAAGTGGCGAGCGAGGGAGCACTGAGCACCGGCTTCTAGGCTGGGAAGGAGCGGGGCCGGGACCCTGAGGAGCGAGAAAGTGGGCAGAGGGAAGGAGATGGAGATATCCTTCTCAGGGATCTGGGCTGAGAGGGTCTGCACCACGGCGGTCTGCGTTTCCCTGGGCAGACACCTGGTCCCTTGCTGCTCCGCTGTCCTGCTCCGGGGGCAAAAGTGAAGGAAAAGGACTGACAAGGCAGAAAAGGCAGGATGCGCATCCCAGGTGCCCAGTTCTTCACTTTGAAGCAATGGAGGGATGGAATTTGTGTTCGCGAGATTGAGGCTTGAGGGCCCGCGGAAGGACACTGTCTCCGTATCAGGAGCGGTAGAGGAGCCCAAAGCCCCAACAAATGAGGCATTAGCAGATCTCTAGGGAGTGGGGAATCCCGACTCTATCTTCAGCCTGCCTCTGAAATGACTCTGGTTCTGGTGCTGGGCTATGTTCTTACTCTCGGGTCTCTGCAGTAGCACCTCACCCCCGAGATGAGCGAATGGTAGAAAGAATGGGACGCTGGGGTTGTGCCAGAGCGTGGCTTTAAATATCCTCATATTCAATCTTTTTCTTTATCAAAGCAGCAAGGATGTTGCCTCCTCTGATTAGTTGGTTACTGGGCACACGGGGTTCTTTCTGTGAAAAGGGAAGGCAGCTTGAGTCAATTTTAGTCACAACCACAAGAAGAAGGACTAAGAAATAGAGGAGAGAGGTGGGGGTGGGGGAAGAGAAGGAGGAAGTGGAGTCGGTAGAAGAATACAAGGGGAGGAAAGGAAGGAAACAAAAAAGAAGAGAAAGAGGAAGGAAAGGTTAACTTGCCTTCCACCTCGGGCCTTTTGGCCTTTGTGTTGTGGCTGGGGAGGAAATAGATAGACGGTTATGGGTAATGTGCCTGCCCCATCTTTTTTTTTTTCTCTCAAGATTGCAAAGTCGAATAAGCTCCTGGTAAACTGTATCATTAGCCTCAGAGGACATCTCTGGGTGCAGCCAAATCTGCTAAGGGCTGCTTGGGGAAATTCTTTGCCCGAAATCCAGGTTCCCTTTCTGCTGGCCTTCCTGGGCCATCTGATTTAGAAAATGTATTGGGGTCAGCGATGGAAAAGTACACGTCTCTGTTGAATGAAAGCATTAAGACAGGCAAGGGTTGGGCTTTGTGGTTATGGCGGCGGAGGAGAGTGGAGCCCTTTCGTGATGAAAGAGTGAGTTTAGTCCAAGCCTACAGGTACACGCATGGCCACTGTCCTCAGACCCAACTTTATCTCCCATCTAGCTCTCAGAGGATTTGTCTGGACCATACATGTGCTGGGACAGTTCTTTCTGGGACCATAATTAATGTATCTCCTCCAAGCTACCCCTGCAGAAATCATCTGACCCATCAAGGATCCCCATAGCATCTGCCAGAGTTTCTGGGACACAGCTGGTGCTGAGTGTGTGTGTGTGTGTGTGTGTGTGTGTGTGTGTGTGTAAAAAGATGGAAAGGGCTACATGGCTGTAGACACTCGTACCTTCTCCATCTCTATAGAATTTAGATGCACAATTGAATCTGGGCCTATTAAACTTTTTCCCAAGTTGCAAGCCCAAGATCCTGTTTGCTTAGAGTCCACAGAACCAGTCCCTTTCCTTCTCTAAGTTGGGGAGGGGGGGTCTTACTTCAAGGTAGGGGCTTCACAAAGCAGGAGCCACCCACCAACAATGGGACCCAGGAAGTCCTAACCTAAGACTCAGGCCTTTCTTTAACAGATCCCCGTTTCTCTTCAGTAATTAAACCATTTAAAGTTGTTTGTAACACAGTCCGGAAAGGCTCACTGCCTAGAAAGGAGAAAGGCAGTCACCCTTTGTGATTAGTAGAAGTCACAGAGAACACAGACCTCTGGGGGTCATCTGCAAAGGACTCTGGTGTGAGTAAGCACTCACCACCCACTGTCCCCAAAGCCAGAATGGCGCAGAGAATTGTATCTTTAGCATCTCTATTATCTGGGAACTAACTACAAAAGAAGCAATGTTCACATCCGTCCACTGAGCCAGAGAAGAAGAAGAAGGCAAAGAGAGGGGCTCAAGAATCTCTTCCCCTTTGGCAGGCACAGACATCAGGCACCTCACCTGGGGTGATGGGCATTCTTTATTTTCATTAAGCCAGACAGAGTACATGTGTAGGTGTTTATCTGGATGTCTTGCACTTTTAACATGCCTTTTGCATCTGGTAGTAAATGCTTAAGAATGAGCAGGCTAGAGAGAAAGTGGAACAGAGAGGGTGGCAGAAAACTAAGAATGACACCCAGGACCACAGAGTGTGTCATAGACCGCGCGACCGCGCGCGTGTGCGCGTGCGTGCGTGCGTGCGTGCGCACGTGTGTGTGTGTGTGTGTGTGTGTGTGTGTGTGTGTGTGTGTGTGTGTTGAAGGAGAGGCGTACTTGTTGAGCATTGAAATTCCCAGGCCTCATCCACAGCGGCACAGTCAGAGCCCCTGGCTTTGGTACCTAGGAATTTATATGAAAAGATGGTGGTAATTCTTTGCTGCTCTCTCTCATCTCTGAGAGAAAAACCAAAGGAGAGGGAAGCGGTGAGAGGGGAAAGACTGAAAGAGGAGAGAACACAATCGGTTTCTCAGAAGGAGTCACTACAGAGGAGTGTGCTTCTTCTGGTTCCTCGTTGAACTTTGGGCAGTTTCTCCAGTCTTCTTCAGGACGGTCAGAGTCATGGACAGCCCCTAGAGGGTCTTCATTGCCAGGCAGGGCTGCCCAGCTTTGGGGGTTCTCGGGGGTGTCAGAGGAAGTTGAGGCCAGGTCACAAGAAGTTCCTCCCCCTGCACCCGTCAAGCACGACTTCTCACATCCCAGCCGTTCCAAACGTCTGTAAACTCAGATTCTCTCTCTTGGGGCGCATCAAATGACAGAATAGCTTCTAGGGGCTCCGGTAGAAATCAGCTCCCCTGCTCGCCCTTGAGTAAAAAGAAAGACCCCCTCCTTGAATTCATTGAAACTGGGGCCAGGGAGGAACGTGAAGGGGGGGGGGGGGGCGGGGAGAGGGGATGGCTTTTGCTCGCCTGCCCCCAGGAGGCCAGGCTGGGGACTTGTCTCTAAGGGGTTCTACTGTCCTCTTTCTAAAGACTCCCGCCCCCAGGACCAACAGTCCAGGAGAAGTAACCCCTCACCTTTCTTAGTTTCCTGGCCAGAGGCAGCTTCGACCTCCAGTGGGAGGACAGGCGCTTCCTTCAAAGCCGGGAGGAACGGAAAGTGGGGAAGCAGGCGACAAAGCAGCGAGGCTCAAAGGCCCTCTTTCCAGCTGCATGCTCCTGGGGAGTCGCGGGATCACTAGGCTTCGGAGACGGGTGACAGGGATGGGCAGAGGTCAGAGCGTCATAAGGAGTGGGGGACACCCGACGGAGTTGGTAGAGACCTTGAGCCCTGGGAAAGTGAGGTGAGGCCGAGGGAAAGGAGGATGCAGGTGAAGGCGGCCGGACACTGAGACACACGCACCCACTAAAGCCTGGCCTGTCCCCGGGTGGCATTTATCCACCGCTATGGGGAGCGTGAGAGCCTAGGCCAGAGCGCCACCGGAAATCCGGACTCTGATCCGGGCTTGCGACCTCGTAGCGCTCCGGAAAAGTCCCCCCTTGCTCATCCAGTCCCTGTCCCTGGGATCACCTTTCTCCTCTTGGTACCAACTAGAACACTGAGGGAAAGAATGATAGCTGCTCGCGGGAGGCTAGACTCTGATAGGATCAGGAGTGGCGGAGCTCCTAGAAACTGTCCTCTCCCCGACCGATCTGCGGCCTCTCTCGGGTTTCCCCCGGGATCGTCCCAGACAATAAATAGATCCAATTTGTTGTTGGATTTACCGGGCATGAGATTATTGAATTTTCACCACAGGCCACTCCCATTGTACAGGTGAGGAAACTGAGGGTTTGTGAGGGAAGTGAAAAAAAAAAAAACTTGTGCCACCTCCCCCGATCCTCACCCCCATCACACCGGTAATAAAGCTACTAGGTCACTGTCCCCTGGCCTGGTGCTGGTGCTGTTAATCTTGAAGCCAAACCTCTACCAGGCAGAGGCATAGACCATCTACCTACCACCACCCAAACTCTCTAGTGCGTTAGGTCCCAGTTGCATATAGCAGGGCGAAAAAAGAGAGGGGGCACATGTCAGCTTGAGGGCAAACCGCACAAATTGTTGTGCAAAAATCCTAATGAATATGAATATTTGAAAACACGTCTGCGCTATAATGTGTAAGTGCGCTCCCAGCCCTACCCGGACAGGGCTCCCCAGGGAACACCAACCCCAGCCCTTCCTGGGTCACATCGTCTCATCCTGCCCCAGCTGAGGTCTAAACTCTGGCAAGCTTGTTTGACAGAAACAGCTTAAGTACAGGACTTGGCCTCAACATCCAACGTCGGATGTCCACAATGCCCATCACAGGACAGACGTCTGGACCCCTGCCTGAACTTTCATGGGGGAAAAGATGCTTCTGTCTCGGCCCGAATATAGACGCCTAAAACCACAGGTCATCCTGAGTTGGTGAAGTTCCAGAAAAAGAACCCTGGTCTGCGCTGCCTTCAAAGCTGGTACCCTGCCTTAAGAATTTTCCCTATCAGCCC